GAAACACTGGTTTTAGAGACCAGCAAGATATATCATGCCCTGTCATTCCTTGTGGTTGTTTACAGTAGAGGGATGGTGGGCCGGGCGTTTCTCTCAGTTCTCGTTTGAATGAAATAGCGAAAATATCCATTTGACGGGATTCGAAATCTCCCTACACTTTGACGGCAGTCGGCCGAGTGGCGCAATGGTAGCGCGTTGGTTTCCGGTACCAAAGGTTTGCGAGTTCGAGTCTCGTCTCGGTCGAGTTCTTCTTTTTGCCTATGGATTTTTATGCCAGATGAGCCTGGTACTCTTCAGAGCCATGGGAAGGACGAGAGAGGAAGAGCGCTCAGCGAGGTGTCTTTTGATAAGACAGGTCAAAGGCCCCGATATATTGAAAGTTCTTTGCTAATCAGCTTGCCATTTACATCGTGCGTTGGTCAATTCTTGGTGGTAGGCTCTGTTTGGAGGAAGTAAGTAACTCTTTTAGACTGTCAAGTCGGCAGAGGTCCTCTCACTCTGGCCCAAAACTTCTTTCCTTGACTGTGGATAATCATGACATCAGGTCTGCTAAACAGAACACGCCTTCACTCTCTCAGGGAACAAAATCCCGATACAGATGAAAATATGTTTGAATGTTCTCATTATTTGGTATCTAGACACAATCCTCCAGTCCGGATTGGTTCCATCGTTATCCATGCTAATTGCCCAAGACGCCATAAAATCAATCGACCCCGACAAAAATCAAAGGAGTCTTAATACTTATACAAGCCGCGCTAACCATATCCACAAGGACGGGAGTTTACCACGCACCGGCATCGAAATCAAACCGGGAGAGCTCCTTTTGTGCATCTTCCACGTCCTTCTTTGCTTTCATACGCATGTAGAAAATCGGACAGTCCCTGGACGAGCAGATGACTTCGCAGTGTAAACTGCCCTGGCAGCGCTGGCATTGGGTCCACAACCGCCCAAACCGGACCTCGAGATCTGACACTTTCGTCAACGATCTCGTATACAGCTCGCCAAGCCGCGGCTGACAGTGTTCGCAGACAGCACCGGCCATTTCAGCCTTGCCAGAAAGGGGTTTCTTGCACCCCATGCAGGTCGCGGTTTTCTTCGCAAACTTCATGAGCCCACCCATGGTTGGTGCGGCTACTGAGATGGAACGCGTATGCTCGCCGGTAAGAAGCTGTCCGGCCTTCTTCTCTCCGAGGATGGGCTCGAAGATACGACCGAGAGGGTTTGCAAGTTGATTGTCCAGGTAATACTTGGTGTCGATAGGGATGTTGTTCTCAAGAACATAAATAGGGTCCTCCGACTTCTCGTAGTTCTTTGAGCCACCAGCACCCTTGACAATAACGTATGCAACACGGTCGCCAAGGGTAGGCGCAGAACCCGCATCACGCTTTCGCATACGCTCAGCAAGTTCTACGTGTGCCTGCTTCGCTGCATAGTCGGACTTAGAAAGAGCCTTTGTGATCACAAGCTTCGACATATCGACCTTGTTTTGTAAAAGGTCTGAAATCGTTTCCTTGACATACCTATAGTCACGTTAGTTGTTATGTTATAGTAACGCTATAGACTGAGGGACGCTAAGTATGGAGACTTACTCTTGAGCACCGTCAACATCTCTGTCAATCAAGATCTTGTGCAGCACTGTCTCAATCACATTTTGCACCAGTAAACAGTTGTCACGGCGAACAGTCTCGATACCCTTGGTGTCCATCTTATCATATTTCTCGGTTTTCGTCCAGTATAAGCCAGCGTATCTCTTCTTATTGATGAGGAGATACGGGAAGTACACCTTTTCGAATTCAAGCTTGATTGGCTTAAGGAATTTCGAGGAGACGTATTCCGAAGCCTCTTGTCCAAGCTTCATGGCGTCCGCAAGCTCCGTGACACCAAATTTGACCATGACGGAGTCGGTATCACCATAAATAACTTTTGCATCGTGGGAATAGCCATTCGCAATGGTGTATCGTGCTTCCACTTCCTGCTTCGTTTTTTCGATCATTTGACGACCGTAACTCGTTGTGCTACTTGCAATGGGCAAACATGGCAATTTTCCAACCGTTGCACCCGTGAGACCGTAAACACTGTTAGCGCTGATCTTAAGAGCGAGCTGTCTTCCGTTCAAGACAGCCTTCTTGAAAGGGTCTGTTTCAATCGCCAACTCTTTCTTCGCTCGCTTTCTTGCTGAAAGCAGTTCTTCTAGAATCTGGGATAAGAGACCCTTGCGGACCTTCGTGGTGCAGAACAAGTCTCCATTAGGCGTCACGATGTAGTCCTCATCCTTCTTCAGATCGTACCTTTCAACGGCTTTCTTGTTCAGTAGTGTTGTGTAGCATAGATTATGGGCTTGGATAATGGAGGGGTATAGGGAGGCAAAATCCAGAGTTGCAATAGGAACATTATAGTAGCCTCGAACCGGCTCAATGACAGTAGCACCTTCGTATTCCTGTTCGCTTTCTGGGGTACTGTTTGGAATAACCAGCTGTTGTTCCAGGGCCTTCCGGAATAGCTGACTCATGAATTTGACTTGTTGACCTCGTGATAAAAGGAAATTGAACGGAACACCCGTTACTCTTGCCATCTCTGTATAATTAACGAGGCACATGAGCTTATCCATTAATCTCTGAGGGAGGTATGCGTCCTTAAGACAGTAAACGGCAAGACGTCGCCTTGAGTCCGGCGTTCCGTTGTGCAATTCAGTGATCATCGTGTGGTGAACATCTTCCTTCTGTTCACCCAGAAATTCGTAAGACACAGAGTTCAGTGTATAACTTCTCAGCTGGTGATCTCTTTGGACTAATTGCAAAAGGTCGAGCTGGATTCTTCCGTTTGTATTGGTCGCCTTTGTATCACGGTTGCCCATCTGTTTGCTGGAGAAGCTTGTTTCCTTAGCTTGAGTCATCACGCCGTTCAACCTAGTCCAGTAAGGGAATCCAGTGCACTTCAAGTGTTTCGCTCGGTCCAGGAGATAAGGGAAATCGAAATTAGCAATGTTATATCCAATAATCACGTCAGGGTCAACTTTCTCCACGAAATCACGCCAAGCCATAAGCATTTTTTCTTCTTCTTTAAACTCCAAGATCTGGGTATTGACAATCAGGCTACACGTATCCAAAACAAATACATTCCGGATGAAAGGCTTTGACTCTCCATAGCGAGTCACGACGTTGGCAATCTGGATGACAGGATCTTGGTTTGGTTCTGGAAAGATACCCTTTCGTCCAGCACACTCGATATCGAAGGATAATACACGGAGCGGCGCCATTTTAGCCCATTCCCCATTAGGCGAGTGGGCAATTAGGTCGCGATAATCGACAACGGCTTCGATCTGGCAATTGGAGTGTTTTTCTTTTTGGTGAAGAAGCCGGTACTTTCCCGCCTTGGCTTCTACCCAAGACATGCCGGAGATGTTCGTATCAATCATAAACCTCAGCAGATATTGGATGTTATCAAAGGTGGCAATCTTTTCGATCCCAGTCCAAAGTCCTTTGTAGTTCATGCTTTGGCCCCCGTTCTCCAAAGCGCCTCGCAGTTTGCTGATAAACTTCGGTTCGGTGACGGTGATCTTCAGGTACCAACTCTTTTGGTTCCCTTGATAACCATAGATATTCTCCCTCAGAGTTACTTGAACCGACTGGATCATCGTCTGGAAATTACCGATTCTGCTTTCCAGAAAAGCCCGATACGGGTCGCAGTCTTCTTTCGTAAAGTTCACAGGAGCTGCGATATAAAGGTAATGTTGGAAGCCGGTTACATGCAGCAAGACAGATTGGCCAGCCTATACGGTACGTTAGAGCAATTCGCAGATAATCGACACCGCGCAGACAATACCTCTGTGACTCCAAACAGTCTTACGGCTGGTTTGCCACCCATGAGCGTTCCTTCTTCGGCATCGATCTGTTGGAAGCAGACACTCTCCTTCGTAGGGTCAAACTCGCCAAGCGGAGGCCGCTCCCATTGTTGGTCCTTCTCCGCATTGCTATCCTTCAAGTCATTGATGTCCTGCGTCAATTTCTCAAGAACCTCCTCCTCGAACTGACTCTTCTGTAACTGACTCGAGCCCGGCACTTTTCGTTGGCCATTTTGAACGGGCGCATTGACTCTCGCGGGTGGTTTGCTGTCGATTTTCCGTTTCTTGCTCGCGTCTGGGGACTTCAGGATACCGCGTGGATTATTCGATGCATCACCCAGAACCCGCTTCTGGGGCGTCGCGACAGCTTCGGGCATGACGGAATGATCATAAAACCGCCGCAGTAGGCCGATGCTATCAATGATACAACCTATGTCAAGTAAGGTTGGCGAGTTGTGAGAATTAATCCATGGAGGCACTATAGGCGGAGTCGCGGGCAATTATGCTCCATTCATGCAGGTCGTGTCTTGTTCGCGCCGGACGTGACGCGTTGATGGAAGTCACGTGTTGATAGCTCACTATCTCTCTCTCGTTCCAATTACAGTAGCAGTGTTACGCAAGTCCAGGTCAGGGAATACTATTTGGTTTTCCCTTTTCTTTCTATGTACTCCTTTGATACCCCGTATATCTTGCCCCCTAGATTAATACAATACCACTAAAATTCACAAGGCAGCGCGACTGTCCTTTTTCCGATGACGTCATAAGAGTCCAGCTTGTACTTTCCTCTCCAGTAAAACATGTAGTATTTTAATTCGGATAGAATTTGGCGAGACCTATTCTCCAGTCAATCGCTAGGTACTCTTGGAGATGCGCAGTCGGTAGTCTATACTGAGTGGTGTTACTCATAAAATACCCGGGCAATCAAGTAACGATATTCGAACGGTAAGGTTATTGGTATCTTATTTAAACGAGATCAATATATAGAGTTGAGAATGCAACACAGTGCAGGTATAACTTTGTGGTTACAAACCACGCTTCGTCCAAATAAATAAATGGAAACAGGTCCGCCATAGTTGATAAGATGCTGTAGACAAGCCTGCACCTCAGGTCCAGCTATCACCAACTTGACTAATAAACACCGTTTCCTCCAGAAGGTAAGTTATACCATGGGTGCTCCGCTCTCCTCTGTCTTGTAGATGTTGTTGTAACCATTCAGAGATTCCTGTGTCAAGGTTGCCATATCTCTTCCTTGGAATCTGCTAGGATCCAGTGCTCGCCTGATAACATCATCGACGGGCTGTTCTTCCAGTATTTGAGCCAAGAACTTCGCTGCTCCAGCTGCGTGGGTGACCCACACCGCCGCTGCCATGTATAGACCCTCAATAGAGGGGATACTTCCTACCAACGGCATATTGTCCGGCGTCATTGAGAAAATGCCGTTGAAACGTTCTCTCGGAACGAGCTTCGTCTCTTCCGGTATAAAACGCATGGCATGGCTTAATGTCTCATCAAACTGCCCGATCCAATCACCAATAGCAGTGTCCCTCGGTTCATTGAGAACTGGGGCATGATCATATGAGCCCAGGCCGAAGAAAGTACCATGATCACGAGCGTAGACATGATGCTGTGGCCATCTCACCCAAGGCGCCTTGCGTAATTTTGGTGTGTGATGCTCAGCGTACATATATGGATGTGCAACCGGCACGACTGGAATTGGAATATCGAACTTGCAAAGGTTGGTTGCCCAAATCCCCGTGGCAATAATGACTTTCTTCGCCGGGATGAGCCCTGAAGTGGTCATCACACCATTCACACAGCCATTGACCTGTTGGATTTCGGTAACTTCTGCTTCGATGAGTTCGACGCCCTTAGTTTGTGCGTTTTTCTGGTAGAATGAGGTTATTCTGATAGCGTTCGCAGCCCCATCACCAGGAAAGTGCAAAGCTATTTGGTTGTCGTCATTGACCAGGTCTGGGGCTAAGCCAACTGCCTGTCCGGAGGATATCAATTCGGCACGGAGTCCAGCTCTCTTAGCCAACTCACATCTTGATCTTAATCGGTCGACGCCTTCACAGCTGGTAGCGATCTCAAGACCTCCAACAACATCGAATCCGCCGGGTACCTTCGTGTATTCTCTCACAGTTTCAATGGCAAGGCGTGTAAGAACCTCGGATTCATTGAATTGACCCACAAAGCCGGGAGCATGGCCTGTCGAGCCTTTCAACTCTGAAAACGACCGATCGATAAGAACCACTTTCTTGTCAGTCTGGGATAAGAAATAGGCCAGCGCGGACCCCACAATTCCTCCACCAACAATGGCAATATCAGACGTGGTCTTTGAAGATTCCATCAGGTCTTGCTGCAGGTATTGGGGATTTTGACCTCGAAAACACAAGGAGAAAGTATTCTGGAGGTCATGCATGTCGATTAAATATCAATAATCACGTTGTAGAAAACGGGAGTGGGGTGGTTCTCTTGGTATCTCGTATCCCGAATAGAATCAGGCCATGAACTATATATATCTGTCCGCGTAGAATCACACCGGCAGTACCCGGGGGAGGTGCCGAAGGTTGCCGAATATATTCCGTGAAGGTGGGTATGGCGTGTGTCTATGTAGTAGGTACATTTACAAAACCGAAGAAGATAAACCTCCTTTAGCCCGATCCCAGGTATATGTGGACAAAATGTGGGGTGGAAAGGACAGAGGATGGAGATGGCGGCCTAAGGCAGCATGGCGGGAGTCCACTTTTGGAAGGGACTTTGAATTTGACTCACGGAAAGGATTCCACATCCCACCAACAATGCCCAAGCCCACGCCGAATGAACTCACCGGGCAAGGGAGTTTACCGATCCATCGGGAGACCCTAGTTTGATCAACACGAGCGGATCTTTGATTTGGTGGGATTTGTGGGAATCTGCAACTCTGAGTCAAGAGCGTTGCCTAGTGTGCGCCCTGTTGATGGCATCTGGAATTTAGAATCGAATGGAAGGCGGACAAGGCCAACGGAACCGCGCTGCGTGAGAACCAATTGGAACCAGAAACCGTGGCATTTTCTGAACAACAATTGTCAACTCCAAAGCTTGCCGATCGAGCTGGCTTTTAAAAGCTATCGAGGTCGCCATCGTGCCCCAACTGGTGCAGTCTTTATCAACGAAAACTATATATCGCATAATCTTTCCATCGCGCCCCTTGCAGATATTTGGTAGCGCTCCCTGGTTTGGATGGAGGCTTTATTTTGATCAAACCCGCAACAGTATCTGCTACCGTACCTCCAAGCGACGCTATTAGATGGCCAGTGTCATGTTCTTACGTGGCTCTAGCGTAGCCGCGAATCTGATGCTTCTACCTGTTTGAATTATATTAGTTTTAAAATGTCGATGTTCAGGTCACCTGCAGATTTCTCTTCCGACTCCGAGTCCGAGGATTCTGGCTTGGATATGGGCCCGAACGAACAAGAAGATGCTCCATCAAGCAGATTTACTGCCGAGAAGGCTAAGGCTCCCGGAACGGGAACGAAGTCGCCTCCTCTTTTGGAAGGAAGCAGCTATGAAAGCCTCGCGGGTGATGCAAATGAAAACAGTGAACTTGATGTCGATACCGAAGTTCATTCTAACATGATGACGGCTGCTCTCCTTGAATTCTACTGTCTGAGCCGGGCTGCGGATATTCTCAATGCACAAGAAGGCTCACACAAGCGTTACACACGTGACTCGCCAGAAGTCCAGTACCTTGGAAGAAAGATGTATAATTATAAGTCACGATTTCTCTCCTCCCACGGGGTAATAGCCGGGGGAATTGAAAAAGATGAGCTGCGGACGACAAGGCAGTATTATCGGGATAACCTTGATGTTCTTGGCATGTCGGCACTGGAGGATCTCAACATAGACGATGCTCAGCGGCGTGTACCACCGCGCAGAACAACTGGAGATGTTGTCTTAGCTGCGAAGTCCTCAAATACTGTGCAACGTAACCCAGACCAAGAGTATGCAGGCTCTGCAAAACGTGGATTGTACAGGCCATCCCTTGCAGATATCGGGAAACGACTCCCCAGTGCAGAGAATATCAGGGCTTTAGAAAATCTTCATCTTGACGTAGGAAGTCTGCCAAATCAATCGTTACACCTCGCAGGAAGCTCGCCTGCAAGCTTTCCATTGTTTGAAAGCAACCTACCGACACCACAGAACCACTTATCACGGTATGCGACGGAATTCGCCGAAGTCAAAGTCCTCGGCCGTGGATCATTTGGAGAGGTGTATCATGTGAAAAACCATATTGACGGACAGCCATATGCGGTAAAGAAGATCCCTATCAGCCAGCGACGGCTTGAGCAATTGCAAGATGGAAACGAGAACCAGCTGGAAAACATCATGAAGGAGATAAGAACCTTGGCTCGACTTGAGCACACAAACGTCGTCCGCTACTACGGGGCGTGGGTGGAACAGGCGCATGTATCGGGTTATGTACGAAACAGCCACGAGGTCCCTGCTGGGGCTGAGAGTGAGAACACGGAAAGCGCCCTGGCCGGTCCCGAACCGAGCGACAGCGAGAGCTTCGGAGTCGTGTTCGAATATTCCCAGGCTTCGGCTGGGGATGCTGAAGATGACGAGGATACTGAATCGATTCCTCGTGACTTTGACGCTTTTACCAATAGCCAGGTATCTACCTTTGGAGGGACGGATGACGATATTTTCACGGATGGGTTAAGCTACGACCCATCCAAGCTGCAGATACAACGACAACATCGAGGCGGGCCTCAAGTTCCTGCAGTTGTTTTGCATATTCAGATGTCACTGCATCCCATTTCACTTAGCTCATACTTGAACTCGCAACCATGTGAGGTTAAAGAGGACCAGATACCACGTCGACATTGTTACCACTTGGCCCCGTCATTGAGACTCATGCTGCGGATAATCTCGGGAGTCGAATATCTCCACTCTAAGGGGATAGTACACCGGGACCTCAAGCCTGCTAACATCTTTCTGTCGTGTCCTGATTATCGAGACCCTGAAGGCTGCTCTCCCTGTCAGTTAGATAACGAATCTTCTTCCTGGTACTCCCACCCTCGAATCGGTGACTTCGGTCTAGTTGCCGATATCTCCCACTTGAATGAGCATCAGTCGGACAGTCCCAGTACCTCTTTGCAGCACAGTACGAAGGTGAATCACGTTGTTGGGACAGAGTTTTATCGCCCACCCTTGATTCATCTCACTGTAGATATTGCCGAGAACTCAGGAGAAACGGGCGGCTGTTACAAGGTTGACGAGTCCCTGGATGTCTTTGCGCTTGGGGTGATCCTTTTCGAGCTTCTGTATCGCTTAAACACTAAGATGGAACGCCAGTTCGTTCTAGGCGAATTGACACGCTGTCAACAGGATCAGTCAACAGGATCCGCTCTAGGACGTGCGTCATTCCCTTGTGATTTTGCACAGAAGATTGATTTTGGGGAGGAGAAATATGACGGGGAAGTGTCCATCGCCGAGGAATTGATGACCTGCATCAGTGGGATGCTGGAACCCTTGCCCCAGAAGCGCTGGAGCTTGTCCGACGTCAAGCAGCATCTGCACAATATTCTGACTGTCGCTCAGAGGGCACCATGCTCCTAATGGGGCGTGTCAAAAGCCATAGCTATGCCAGGAGTACTAGCATATTTGCTCACATATTGCATCATTGTACATCTGTCTTGATCAAGCGCTGCGTACATGAAATATATCGGAGACTTGACAAAGCAAGTCGAAGATCATTACGGCAGATAATCTTGTGAAATAAGCATATTACTATTACAATTTAACTCCCATCTCTCTCACGTGCAAGCTGTTGAATGTTGAATGTTGTACTAGGTAATTGATAATACCCTCTTAACTCTCTGGATCACATCTACCAAAGGATCATGTTTAATCCTGCTATTTTAGAGGATGCCTTTACGTGCATGTATCTAGTGGAAGACACATGGAGGATGTCCGCGGTCCTCGGTTTCGGTCAACGTCGCAAGAAAGCTTTCCCCGCATGACCCCGGATAAGATAAAGAGACCCTGATCTACAACCAACGGCCACCACATCCAACCCCAGAGTACCGTTGATTGTTTAATTTTAATTGATCGCATGTCATAAAACCATGGCCCGCCAAGATCACGCCCCAACAGCCCCATACAGTGAGCCCTTGCTCCCCCAGCTCGACATCCAGAACCCATACTACACCGCCCTCCACCACAGTCTTCGCGCCTATGTCCGCAACTACGTAGAATCATCGATTGCACCATACGCCCATGAATGGGAAGCCGCAGGCCAAGTCCCCGAACCCGTCCGCCGGCGCCACTGCGCACTGGGGTTCGGAATCATTCATCCCCTGACCACGATCGAAGATGCCGCCGGACTATCCCTCCCGAACAACGTGCCGCGCGAGAAATGGGATACGTGGTGCTCGCTCATTGTCGCCGATGAGCTCATCCGCACTGGATACGTAGGTGTGATTTGGGGACTGGGGGGTGGGAATAACATCGGGTGTCCACCCATTGCACGGTTTGGAACACAGGAGCAGAGGCAGAGGTGGCTTCCGCGGGTGGCGAAGGGGGATATTCGATTTTGTTTGGGGATTACGGAGCCTGATGGTTAGTGATGTTCCCACCGGAGCGATGGCTACTTTTGTATACTGATGGGGTTTGTTTGATAGCTGGATCGGATGTCGCGAACATCTCGACGACGGCAAAGCGCGAAGGCGATTGCTATGTTGTTAATGGGGCGAAGAAATGGATTACCAATGGTATCTGGGCTGACTATTGCACTGCTGCGGTGAGGACTGGGGGTCCTGGAAGGGGTGGGATTAGCTTGCTTGTGATTCCTCTGGCGGCGCCTGGCGTGACGCGAAGAAGGATGTATAATTCCGGCGTGCATGCAAGTGGTGAGGACCCTTATTTGTCATTGAGATTCTTTCGTCTTGGCCGCTAATGTGCAATGTGCTAGGGTCAACTTTCATCGAACTGGACGATGTCCGGGTCCCGGTAGACCACCTCATCGGAGAGGAAAACAAGGGCTTTCCGCTCATCATGTCAAGTAACTCCATCTATTACCATATCAGACCATATTCGGTCAAGGCTGATCCTGTCTTAGACTTCAACCCCGAGCGTCTCAGCCTCGCCTGTGCATCGTTGCGTCTGGCTCGCGTGTGCGCCGAAGATGCCTTCCATTACGCCGCACAGCGCGAGACATTCGGCGCCCCGTTAATACAGAGACAAGCCATACAGTCGAAGATCTTCAAATTCGGGCTCATGATCGAACCCGCATACGCATTCATGGAACAACTTGTGAATATCATCGAACTAACCAAGGACAGACCCACCGACGATGTCCGAATTGGAGGTATGACCGCGTTGCTCAAAGTGATGTCTACCAGGGCCCTGGAGAAAAGCGTTAGGGAAGCCCAACAAATACTCGGTGGTGCTGGGTATAATAAGGCTGGAAAGGGGGCACGTATTGAGCAGATTAGCCGTGATGCCCGGGTTCATGTTGTTGGGGGCGGAAGTGAGGAGATCATGATGGGTCTTGCGCTGCAGGAGGAGACGAAAGCCCTTCGGACGAGGCGTAAGGCTTTGGAGAAGAAGGCGAGGCTTTAATGTGTTGCTGCCAATCTTACATCTTAATGGAACATATATATATATGTTGCCGGACCATTTTGTTAACGCCAGTTCCGAACCATGATAGCAGACAAAACGCAATATGCTTATGTTCAATGGAAGTAGTAAGTACAGTATCCCATAATTACATGAGTCTTGGAGTACATGTTCACAAGACGAACATCTGAAAAGGAAATAAACCAACGAAGAAAACAAATATTGTCCATCCCTCCTGAAAGACCCTCCGAGCTGACACCAGCGCGCCTGAAGACCAGATTCCACACGACGTAATCAATCAACCAACTCACCCACCCTTAACAAGATCCCAGGGATTGACCGTGCTTCGATGTGGCTCCGTACCCTCAATCTGCTCGATTCGCCGTCTTATCACATCATAGTGCTGCGTCATATCAAGGAGGGCTTGTCTGAGCAACGGGAGGTTGTGAAAGGCCTCGGGTCTAAGGGGGAAGGGTATCGCTTTGCCATCATGTCTACACTTCACTCTGCCATCCTCTGAAGAAGCTGCGGTAATACGAGTCATAGTACTTCCAGGCTCTGGGCCCTTCGTCCATGTAACTGACTTTGAATGCCCAGACCCTTGTACATTAGACGGCCCTTGGATACTGGGACCACTTTGGCCCTGAGATGAGCTAGGCTGCAGAAGCAAGAGAAACCGCTCGGCCTCTTCATCCGACACGGGACGTGCGATGTGAACTTCCTGGCTGGCGACAGGTTCAGACGACGGATCAGTCTCCTCTCTAGGAACAGACGAGCTGCCGATATCTTCAGAACTCTCACAGTTAATACCTAATCGACGACTATCAACACATGTACCAAGACACGCTGAGTGATAATCAAAATATACTCACGATGAGCACAAGTGTAACGTCTACTAAAGCGACAATTCGCGCAAGACCCATGAATCTTCGTGTCGGCCGTAGTATCAGAGCCTATGATACAGGACTTCCACACGCCAAGATGCTCTCTGCAGAACGAACAGGGCTCGGGGGCTTCAGTACCGCGGGTTTGAACGAACGCTGCCAGGCGCGACAGGTTATTCGTGAGCTCTCGTATCACGGGGCGGTTGTTGTTGTCCGTCTGCCAGTCTAGGGTTCGCTGGACGGGGAGATTTGTGTAGTATTCGATTGCGGGGTTGGGGTTCGGTCCTGCGTCGGGGAGATCATGAGATTCTGATCCCGACACAGCGGGTTTGTCTGACCAGTGGACCTCGTTAGCGTGTTGACTAAAGTGAGATGTTCTGGTTTAGCTTACGTGCTTGCTTGGAGCGCTTTGCCTTTCTGGTTGGAGTCGAGGCTGCGCGCTGTTCCGGTCGTGGTGTCGATATGTTTGATGAAGGCGCGTCTCTGGGGTCAGGCTCCGGCTTGCTCTTGGGCTCAGTGTCCATCGGCTCGGGGTTCATGATGGGCATATTAGAGAAGAGCAAATCAGTGGTGGAAAGCTAGAGGATTCGATGAATGTGAAAAGTGTTCTTGTCGAGTCTATCCCCAGATTCAAAAGTCTGAAGACAGCTGAAGGGAGGAAACAAAGCAGGATAAACGACAGTTAAAGGCTGCGTGTTACTCACGTACTAAATGAAAGAATATGTACTGTGTTGACAGCTTTGTCTCGGCATTATCACATAGCCTTGCACATAGTAGTGATGGCGAGCACGATCTACGTGTTTATTGCCTCGTTCGCTCACCATAAACACAGCTGGACGATGCGTAACGACATCATATCGTGTAAGCCAAACAACAGGATTTGTGAAAGGCTGCCTTAAGTTATACTATGGTGTATTTTCACTGTTACTGCTTTGATAATAAGGACATGCAATGTAGATCAATGCCATCTGCACAAGATACTTGGAGCTGTTTTTAGCCTGCACTGATGATAGAAATGCAAGCCTAATCCTAGACTACAGCCACCTCTACTCCAACATACACTCCATGAATAGGTCTTGATATAATTTTAAGATTTCATTGCATCGACATGAAATCCACAAGCCTCACCCAGCGGCCCTTGAACCTAGCATGTTAGACCAGATGTCTACAGCGAGTTAAACCTGAGTGCCTATGATACTACATTCAAGCTCGATGGCGAGGCAGACACAGTCTATTCTACTTCCTCTGCCTATGAATAGCTTCATAGAACGGGAGATCCATAATGCCAACGGACTTGGGTCAATGAATGTTCAAGGTCATTTTTTTTGAGCGATAAGATCAAGGTAGAATATTATCAGCTCATAGCAGCAATAATCATTCAACAAATAGTACTCCAGAGGAAAAGTATGCTTCTTTTAATTTGCTAGTGCATTCAATCTTCAACGATTAAGGTGTCTGAGGGTTGGAGTGATTTGCAGCGCTTAGGGTATTGGCTGGTCAGGAGAGAAAGCACGTGGGTCCGTCCCTTTCCCGGTCACTTGTAAGCACGTCTTCAGTATGGCCCACAATGTATGTAGTACAGAGTAAGCCACTGCACTTAGAAGGAGGGAAATGGTTTTTCAGTGTTCTTCTTCCCTTTACAGTTTCAGATAAACATAAATTCTCATTCAATTGTGAAGGATACTAAAGATTAACGGTTGTCATGAATGGTTGAATACTCCGGAGTACTAGTGGTGGGCAGTGCTATGGAAAACACCCATTGGGTACTCCAGACCAGGTCAAAATACCCACACTTTGATACAAATACCATAAATGACCTAGACTGACCCGGCCTTCCAGGTAGTGATCCCCTTTTAGGCTAATGATCAGGGTTCGCGACAGACCCTGTCAGGCGAAGCGGAAGCTCCCGCCTGAAAAAATTAGGGCTCCGAGGCTAGCGCCGTATAAAGGATCACTAGTTTTATGGCCCTCATCGGATGTCTCAGTTTCTCACTGCATAAGCGAAATTGGACCCGCCGTTCTGGAATGATTGGGTGCTTGGATTAGCCTCGCAGTAATGAGATTAAAGAATGATCCCCCTGAATTTTTCCCCATTTGCATTTGCCCTTGAGTCCATGGAGTTCTAATCCATGGTTCGCCAGGCATAAAGCGGTTTATTCACGACTCTTGATAAAAGACCTGGTATGCGCGCACCCGATCCGATTTCGATATCGTAAAACATCGACGGGTCCCAGAGCACCGATGCGCTGTCTAAGCTTCTGCCAAGTTGGCTTGGCTGTCTTGGTATTCCTCTCTGGGCAAGGGGCCCTAGCCGATCTGGGAATTGACGTGAATAATGTCGGTATGTATAGGGCTGGCTTTAATACATGATGGATCAAGAAATATGTACTGACTCAGTGCTTGCTAGACTCCCTGAAGCAGGCTGGCAAGGCCGTTGCTGCCCCCATGATGGATTTCTACAAGAAGAACGAAACTGAAGGCATTCCCGGAAAGCTCACCGACACATGGTATGTGGCCGGGAGCATGTTCATGACATTGATCCAGTACTGGCAGGCGTCGGGCGACGACACCTATAACGCTGTCGTGTCGCATGACTTAATGTTCCAGGCGGGCGAGAACTATGATTACTATTCGAAGAATGTTAGCGACTGGCTGGTGCGTGGTCCCTGCTGTGTCTATAAGTGCTAGACTACTGTACAAGATCATTAACTGTCACCAGGGGAATGATGACCAAATGTTCTGGGGTCTTGCAACCATTACAGCCTCCGAGGCCGGATTCCCGGAGATCTCCGGCAAGCCCTCGTGGACATCTCTTGCCCGCGTGGTGTTCAACATGGAAATAGAACGATGGGATGAATCGGCCTGCAACGGCGGCATGCGCTGGCAGCTTTGGCCCTACCAGGAGGGCTACACGATGAAAAACGCCATCTCCAACGGTGGGCTCTTCGAGCTTGCGGCCCGACTTGCTCGGTTCACGAAGAACGAGACCTATGCGGAATGGGCAGACCGCATCTGGGACTGGTCTGCCGGCACGCCACTTTTGCAGACCGATCGCTGGTATGTCGCCGACTCAACGTCCAATTTGAATAACTGCAGCGATGCAGGAGACCAGCAGTGGTCTTACAACTACGGCACGTATCTCGCCGGCGCAGCGTTCATGTATAATCATGTGAGTAGTTCGGGTACTCTGATTGGGGTATGGAAGCTGGCTGACAATACCAGACGAACGGTTCAGACAAGTGGCTCAAGCGCGTCGACGGCCTACTCGGCTCTGTATTGACGACCTTCTTCCCGAAGGAAGGTAACGGCGTTGTACTCTCCGAAGTCGCCTGCGAACCCATCTTGACATGCGACCGGAACCAGCTCTGCTTCAAGGGATACGTGGCCATGTGGCTAGCGTTCACGGCCATTCTGGTTCCCTCGACGAGAGAGCGCATCACGCCGAAGCTGCAAGGGTCCGCCGCGGCTATCTCGAAGCAGTGTTCCGGGGGAGACCAAAACCTCTGCGGAGAACGGTGGTATTCAACTGAGCCGGTGGGCCCGACCGGACTGGAGGTGCAAATGGCTGCATTGGGTGGTATTACGAGCAACCTCATGCTCTTTGAAGCGCAATCGCCCAAGACTATTGAGTCCAATCCAAATGCTACCGAGACGGAGATTGACCACCATAATGATGAGGAGCCTAACAAGCCTAAGCCGATCACGACTGGCGATCGGGCAGGGGCAGGGATTATCACGGTCGTAGTCGCAGTAGCTGTGGCTGGGACTGTGGTATGGATGATAATCCCATAGGGGTTGGGCGTTGGCGAAGTGGACAAGCCTGTTCTTGCCACTGATAGAATCAAACATTTATCCTCTATACCAGTGTCTTTATATTTCAGAGTATGCCATAGCGTTTGTTAAGTTCCCTTATTTCGATATTATCCTTACTTTGTCTGACTTTCAGGCATTCCGTATGCCGTGGGAATGGTGCTAGTTTGTTGTATCTGTTGATTTGATAAGATATATAAAGACCTAGCCACCTCCATACCATATCACACACAATGTGCTCCGCAGTCGGCGTATAGTACGCGTAGAAAACGTTCCGACTATACGGCTGAACCGTATTTTTTTTTCGTAGAGAACCTATCAATTGTGCCGTTCTAAGCAATCTGATTCGGGATATCACTCAAAGATGGGAGTTTGTAATGATCCCTGCGGTACTTTAACGTGAGTTGTCACAGATAATGTACCCTTGACCACCACCTATCTTCATGAATTTAGTGCGGAAATTACCTGTGAACGGGGTAGGACGGACCTCTTTATCAGTATGTATCAATGGGTTACTGCTTGTCGAGCAAGTGATAAGCTTGACAGACCTCCACTGTGTTTCTTCACTGGGTGATATACACGGACGGGAGATGATCGATCGACAATCGATCTTCGGTGGGTCGGATCGCCATATCTTACGGCATATTAAGTGAACTCGGCAGTACAAATAATATGCCGGTATTTGTTTCAAGTTCTTCGGAAGGCTGGGCTCAATAAAAATTCATCTACTTTAACTCACGATTGGAGTAATACCGGATATGGTCTTCGTTATTGTAGACCATCACTCTGAGATGAGGGTTTCGGAACTGTCAGCCCTGTCAGGGCTGCAAGGAAGCTTTCTTAATATGTACCTTGTGCCTTGTGTTGTGCAGTGTGAGATGCTTTACTCTTTGTCTATGCATCTTTAGAATACTCGCTGCAAAAATAACAAGGAAAAACAAAGAAAAGGAGAAAGAACCACCATGGAATCGGTCTATACATGACCTGGCGGTAGGGTCGAATCTCCTAATGTGCTCCGACCAGATGGCACCGTCGAGCAGGCCGTGAGATGCGCTAACTCCACGTCGTTGTTCTCCACTGAGGCAGGAGATTTCATCAAGGAGCGCTGATCACATAGGGTTGTTCGGGTGTCCTGGGTCGGTAGAGTACTGATCCCCTGTGAGAAACTAACACTGTCCCAGACCTTGAATACGCGCCGACGGGCGGGAGTTGGACTGTCATCATTAACATTATTCCGGGGACCCGACTGTCCCTCTGACCAGCAGGGACAGTTGAATTTATGGCAGACGATCCGTAACACCGGGGTTATGGTGGGCAGACATGCGCAGACTATACCCACCGCACATTCAATGACGGACCATATCGTCGACGGCCCGATGGTTCCTTATCCACAGGCCCGGTTAGAGGAGGACTGCATCGCCTGTGACAGCTGGAGAAGATACTGAAGTTGTTACATACCAGGGACATTGTGTGGTGAGTACAGGAACAGAGTGGTAAATCGGTAAATACTCACACCGACAACGCTTGCAGGAGGATGGGTTAGCAGCAGTCCACCAAGTGGCCAACAACCTTGCACGACCACTCACAAAATGCCCATCATAAAGATACCAATGAGAGATAGACGGTAGAGGATGCTCCTGTGCAACTGCCAACAGGATCGAATGGGCAGCGACAGAATGGCAACATCGGTGAGAATATTGGGTAACGCGACGCAGTAAAAGGCCAGTTGGAGACTGATGCAATGACCAGGTATGTCGATATCCCACGCCTTGGCTACCGGCGTGCACTGGAAAATGGCGGCTGGCACGAAAGCAGTGGCCCAGAGTGTGACAACCGCACCACAGATCATCGCGCCCACGCGAAACAGACGAGAGATGTTGGTGAAAATACGGCGGTACATCATCAGGATTGAAAGCTTGATGGTCAGGAGATTGATCACGTAAAAGATCTCAAAGACATAGAGCAGCTAGACCAAACAGAGATTATCAATGATGAACTCCCCCTTAGGTCCACCGAGAGGACTTACTTTGGCTACCATCAGCGAGCTTTCAGCGGGGAGATCCACCTGGTTGTATCCCAAGCCATAATGAATCACTAATATGACTCGTCAGCACGGATCTCGAAAGAGATCTCCCAGGGGGGCCCACCTTACTTCCCAGAGCAATGCCGGAGATTGTGAAGAGCAACGCCTACACCCGGACATCTCGTTAGTATTGACGTTAGCCAGAGTCACCGACAGCGGGCCTACCAAGCTTGCAACAATGAGATAGTCATCAGCGCCTACCGTCACTCGGCGGATGTGTCGAGCGACGAATCGAAGCACAATGCTGACGACGGCGAGCACATTGACGGCGATGACATTGTTCCGAAGCCCGTCCGACGGAGAGTTCATTGCTTGCTCGTTTAATTCTTGCGGTCACCCATCTCCGTCAGCGTGGGTGAGGGGATGACGAAGGGATCTTAAATAAAACCCAATCAAGGGAACTTGGCCGAAGGCTCTGCCACAAGCGAGGAGACAGGTCCAGTCGCAAGGAGACGCCATTCGACGTGTCTCAAAAACAAACCATTATCATCGGTGATCCGTGCGCATTCCCGCCGAGCTGGTAGCAGTAGCTGAAGGCTATTGGCTCTTTGGTATGTGATCGTAGTAGATGGAGGCGATCCTCCACACTCTTCACGGTGTTCACTATTGCCCGTCATTCGTGCACTGGCTCTCAGCCCCGGCGCCCACCGTGCGATTGCTCGCATCCTGATACTTGTCAGGTGTGGCCAGATAGGAGTCTAATTGCTCTGCCGATCGTATCCTGGTTGAGCCAACCGGATCGTCAATTCCAACCACGGAAAAGGCAACTATTTAGCGTGCATGCCTCATTGTCAATCATACTGTATAGAGTTAGATGGGATTGATCCTACAAGAAGCTGCAGAAAAAGAACTACGTTGCACGCATCCCAGAAAGTCAGGCCTTTCAGACGCTTCGATCTGTCTAGTAAATTCTAAGGGCCGCCGGTTATGTTCTCTCCCATACTACCCAACTGGAATGTCGATCTTTCTACTGCATACCAAGGATCAACGTTCGACCGAGGGCCTCAGTCAGGTAGTAACTGATCTATCGCCCGCTCACGGAAATGTTACCCGTCTGTGAATACATTGTAACGTTTTGCAGCAACTGTAGGTTGCATCCTAGCCTACAGGAGAGGCTTTATACCTGTCGTACTTATCCAATATGGAGCAATGGCGCCACGGTTGCAACCCCGAAATGTCCACATCCGAGTCTCTACTCTAGGAAGGGAAAACGTCTTGCGATTCTCAGACAAAAGTAGGGTATGTCCGTCGTCCTCCTCCTCCCACGATTCAACAATGGTAGGGACGAGAATCGGTGTCGCTTGCTGTACAAACCGAATATTTGGTACTTTGAAAGCCGGAAGACTGGCACCGCGATCTTTGAGAATGAGATTGGAGCCCAATGACCAAACACCGCGGTCGCCGGCCGCATAAAACAGTTTGGCATGGCTCTCGTATCTACAATACCTTTGGCGTTCGGTGGTCCAGCTACATGCTGCGCAAGGGAAGCCACTGTCTGAAAAGCATAGAGTGCCGGATCAATGCTAGATTAATCCAAGTATTTCGTCCCCCCGCCATGGTCGACGAATCGCTGTGTCCTCTGACTGCGGGACATTTTACTGCTAGTTGCAGCCACTGGTATCTCACTGTCGATGCTAACGTAGCATTCGGGCTGGACGACGGTAGCCTATTTGGATTTGGTCTTTGTCGGGGTTGGAGAGAATAGTGCTCGCTGTGCCAGATACCATATACAAGAGGCAGGGTTGGTGGAATGAAGATGTAAGCCAGAACTATCGGAATAAGGCAATGGATCGCTGTGAACAGGAATAAACACGGTCACCTGGCTGACTCTGCGCAATTAGCGGCAGAAACACCACCGATAACTGCACCATAGCACCAAACAACAACACAGATGCACTTAAACGAGCTGATCATTAGGGTAAGTTTTACCCACCCGTGTACGGAGGCTCATAGCGGCCACGCCGGCCAGTACCCGCGGGCGAGATCGCCATCGGGCCGTCGTTAGCTTCCGCTCGGCACCGCAATTGAGATGTATTTTTGTTGGACATGAACAAAACTTTCGTTATCATACCTATCCACCATTTACGTCCTTTGCTGAAAGTAGTGGGCAACGTATAGACCGTCCACTGCTATCCCGGATACTGTTGAAAGCATTAAGATCCAGCAAAACATGCATCCAATTAAGTATCTCAATAGGGAATTATTGCACTGTTCCACAGCGACTTGGCGATGAAGGCAAAGAGAAAGGAGGACAGAGCCTTTGAGGCTTCTACAAAACCCAACTAGCCCGGGATACTGGCCGTCGAGAGACAATTGAACACGCGATTTAGAAGAAAGTAAGATGGCCGAGCTTCATCCAACGCATACAAAACGCCATTACTGCTGGCTTTAAAAGGAACTGGAGATATGTGATTGAGAAGAGACAGAAGGCGGCGCACAGAAGACGTTAGCCTACACTATCCATATCCTGTCGGATGCCCTGTCTCAAGATAGGATAATCAATGATGTAGATTGGTCGACGAAGACTAACGTAGTCTCTCGATGGATTCAGAATATTGGCACATCTTTAGCATCTAGGGCAGCCTTTCAGGCATCGCATCTTCTCGATCAGGATAATCAATGCGTCTCCTATTTCCATCATGCCGTCCAGCACTTATGCCCATTGAGATTCAGATGAATATCTTCTGAAACCCGACCACCTTATAGAAAGGAACTGTCTAAATGGATAAAATCTTCTACGTACCCTCATGCAAACCGGGATTGCGTGTGTCGAACTAATGGTGCTAGTACGTTTTGCCCAGGTCCACAGAAAACCCTCACCGAGCCATTGTTGTGCGTGGTCCAGCTCTCCCTCGTCCCGATCCACTGGCAGCTTCAGAATACAGGACGAAATAATCGATGCGAGCGATGGGGAGAATTGGTTGTCATATATGCCTCGTCAGTTTAGGATACCTTACAATGGAATGGACTCCATTTCCTGATGTGCAATGGCATCCGTAGAAGGAAACGATTTCATCGCAGTATATGACACCGAGAGATACACCTTGCCTCCACCGATCAAGGCGCTGATGTAGGCTGCCTATTCAATCGCGGTTTTCCATCCGGTGCTTTGCCTGATACGTGAAATGATATGGAACCGACCATAGATCATACTAACCTATACAATTCAAGTATTCCATAATGGCCATGTACGGTGAACCGGCGGCAGGTAAATCCTCGCAGAATACGATGCGAGATTCTCGGGACTCCTCACATGAGCACTCATATGAACAAGTCTATTTACATAATCACAACCACGTTGACCATTGTTTCCAGTTTCCTGCATCAGTCGCTGCTTTGCTGTGGTAGTACAGCCCTGGAGGGTCATGATCCGACGACAGATCAGCTGGAGATGACTGGGACGGGGGCAGTGCATGTCTACAGACTGTGACAGAAGGGCTAGTCAAAATTCAATAGTACCGGCCCGGACACAGGGGCTCTTGGAGACCTGGGGAAGGGTTTCTCAGATGATATGCTCAAGACCGACCTCTCCGGCTCACAACATCGGAATCTCGGGTTTGATTGGCCACGTCGTCAATGTGGAAGTCCAGGTTTAACACTATTGGTTAACACTCTGTATAAACTGGAGCATCTTTGGGGGCCACGCAATCAAGTTAGAAGTCCAGATTTAGTACTATATAGGCTTTTATTAATTGACCCTGTGTATAAAACGTATAAAACTGGAGCCTCGGGCATTACTCTGGATGTGATTGGTCACATCGTCAATGTGCAAGTCCGGATTTAGTACTATCTCTGGTTTATAGGTTGAAACGGAGTACATTTTTCTTAACGAGGCTGGGGCAGTATCTTCCATGGAACTAGGACTTGGCAGCTGTCGATCAAGGCATCTCAGCCTCAATTTTATGTTATGCCAAGGGGTTAACCTGCTGTATGTCTCGGATTGGAAGAGCCTCGGAGAACCTCCTAAGGATGCTGGCTTAGGGGATTGACATGATAGCGCGACGAATTACCCCCTAAACACTTTGAATATTTTGCAAACACAACAGCAGTAGCATACCAGACTATGGCATATAGAGTCACTAGGCATGGTCGTTCAATTCAGGACTGATATCTCTTACAATCCCGTGATATGTATGTGACGGCTAGGCTAGCTAAAGCTACAGAGGTTCCATTATCATCCAAGACTGAATCAGCTGGGAAACATAGCCTTCATTTAGGTCTGAGTAAGGGCTCATAGAAGCTAGGTCTAATTGGGAGGCCAGGTTAGAAGCTCCATATTACAGTATTACTGTCTCTAACAACATGTCATATACAACTCTGTACCTTGGCAATCATACAGTGCTATTCATTTTTTTCATTATCCAAGAACTTTACGAGGAATATGAAGAAGTAGGTCAGGGATAGTGAACAGAAATGCAGTTGCTATGATATATAACATAGTGCTTCCTTGTGTATTCTAACCATATGTATACCAGTAGGAACACAGGTAGTCAAACATGTGAATGACTACAGAGGTGGATCTCACGGACCATGGCCACATTCAGGCGTCCAGGACAAAGGGAAACAAGGCAAAGCATTCGGTACAGATCTAGGATGTTAGGACCTCTTTCTCTGTACATAAAAAGGCAGCCAACCCTCTGAGAGTAGACATATCCCAGTACCATCCACTACACTTCTCTCTTCGCAAACATCCAACATCAGCTGCCACCCTCTACAAAGAACAGCAACATGCAATTCAAGACCCTCCTCTCCTCGCTCTTCATTGCCAGCGCTTCGGCCGGCTGGATTCAGCTGTGCAGCAGCGATGGCCACTGCACCGACGCCGGTTCATCGCCTGCAAACTCAAACAATTGCATGGGCCCTATCCGCGGCAAACCACCGTTCAAATTCGTTGCCCACGATTTCACCCCCGTCTCTATGTCCATCTTCACGGATAAGGGATGCTGGAACAACAACGTTGCCACCTGTGATGGCTGCAAAGACGTCAAGTATAAAGGAAAAGGTATTGATTCATACTGCTGCCCCTCTGGTTATCTGGTTAATTAGTTTCTTTAGGTCCTGTCTATGGCATCTTCCACATGGATGTCGTCTAAGCGTTATTTGTTCGGATTATGAGCCTAACGGGATAAGACTTGTTGGACTGTTGAGTTATACTACCTTCTATGGTGGATTTTGTTGACATATATGATATGGAGGAATCTAGCATATTAGACAATTGATATTTCTGCATGCATCTTCTAAGTCAAACTTAACTATTATTTGGCTATATGGGACGGGGATATCTATCTAAGTAAGCAATGCTGCTCTGAGAAGAGATAGTAGAAATCGTAATTCTATATTTGGTATGGAAGAACTGCACAATGCCAGCGAGGAGATCCTCATATCATGTACTCCTTATCATCCTCGGGCCCAACAAAGTGGTTTGTATAGACTCAACTCGGGGGAGGTCATGAGACTGCCTGCCACCTTCGCAACAATGGACCGGTCTCCCGTCGGCATTGAAAAGACTAGAGACACTAATGTGTGCCAGGCACAGTTCAAGAACCAAGCCAATTGTTATCTGGAAATTGGAATACTTGAAAAGTTAAATACAATTATATCGCTGCTATGTCTAGTCCTCCGGGGATTCGAATAGATGAATATAAGGAGAGAATTAACAAATAGTATACAAGATAGGCAACTCACCAGTGTTTATAATCTTACTTGATTCCTTTTATGGATTAAAGAAAAATATCAACTGAACAGATGTCCACTAGTATTGAATTCTGACAGAGGTCAAGTTCCAGGAGGGCTGTAGACTTGTCATCACGTCTAGTTTCTTGATTGCTGGTGGGTATATATTTCTCATCAACCCAACTGCAACCGTGGAATATTGTAGGCGCCCAACCAGTACCAAACTAGTACCCGTAAGTTACAACTTATGGTTGCACTTAGAGCTTGGTAGAGCGTATTATAAGTATCGTAAGGTAAGACAACACATGACGTCTTTTATCTTATCTCAATCAACATCAACAACAAACCAAAATTTGCTTCTTCCTTCAACTCTTCTTTGGGACACCCCCCCTTCACCACCAAACCATGGTGATTATTGACAATGATTTTATAGATTCTACTGGTAGAATCTCGTGCCCTAGCATTTGATGTCTAGTTCCGTCTTCCCCAGTCCACAGACATGGAGAGTCTTGAAGAAATCACCCGTCCTTGCGATCCTGCTGAAGGAACCGTTGAGGACGGCTCGGCCAGGACCCCATCAGTTGCTGATCAGAGCCTGGCAAACTCACTAGTGGGTTTAAATATAGGGAGCGGAGATGCATCGTTTAAATCCACATCCAGCAACAAAGTATCCGACGAGCAAGCGGACTGGAAATTCCCCGATCAAGAAGATACCTCGACCCCCCCAACCAGAGTGCTCTCTCCGTACGCTCCAGTGCCATACAATCCACCGTCTGCAACTGCCATAAGTGATGATGGCGGTGATGAGGATGAAGAGCCATGTATCGCGACGTCTTTCGAGAGAGACTCTACGCCGACGTCCCTTCAAAAGCGCCGGTCGATGTTCTTCGGTAACAGCGAAGAAGGCATCAACCGGATGCATAAATTCTCTCTGTATGAAACGGCAACACGATTCTATATGGTTGGTATGGACTTGTCAGACACCCGCTTCAGGATTTTGAAGATCGATCGAACGACCGAGACAGGAGATCTGAACGTTGCTGAAGACGATATTGTGTACAGCAAAAGAGAGATGAGTCAGTTACTAGATGCTATTGACGATGGCAATAAGATATCGGGTGGCCTAAAGCTGAGGTGCAGTGCCTGGGCTATGCTGGGATTCATTAAGTTTACCGGCACATACTATATGCTTCTCGTGACTAAGAGAAGCCAAGTTGCTATGCTCGGTGGCCATTATATCTACCAAATTGATGGGACTGAGTTGATCTCCCTGACCAACCCGAGCACCTCAAAGCTCAGACCGGATAAGAACCCTGAAGAGGCTAGATATATCGCTATTCTGAATAACCTTGACTTAACTCGCTCCTTTTATTTCAGCTATTCTTACGACATCACCCACACATTGCAGCGCAATATCTGTCGGGAACGCAGAGCCCACCAAGACGGCTACCCGACGCCTTCTCAACAAGACTACAACACAATGTTCATATGGAATCATCACCTTCTTAGCCCTGCTATCGAGAATTTGAAGAACCCGTATGAGTGGTGTCTGCCAATCATTCATGGATATGTTGAACAAGCGAAGATGTCTATATACGGCCGTTTGGTTTACATCACGATTATTGCTCGCCGATCCCGATTTTTTGCGGGAGCGCGCTTCCTGAAGCGAGGTGCCAACGATCTGGGTTATGTCGCCAATGACGTGGAGACTGAGCAAATCGTGTCTGAAATGACAACCACCTCATTCCACGCCGCCGGCCCCGACCTTTATGCAAATCCTCTCTACACTTCCTATGTCCAGCACCGGGGAAGCATTCCTCTCTACTGGACGCAGGAAAATTCTGGCGTATCTCCGAAGCCCGGTATCGAGTTAAACCTGGTCGACCCATTCTACTCTGCGGCAGCGTTGCATTTTGATAATTTGTTTGAGAGATATGGGGCCCCGATCTATGTCCTGAACCTGATAAAGTCCAGAGAGCGCACCCCACGAGAGTCAAAGCTTCTTCAGGAATACACGAACGCCATAAATTATCTCAACCAATTCCTGCCGGAAGACAAAAAGCTGATCTACAAGCCCTGGGATATGAGTCGAGCCGCGAAGAGCCGTGATCAGGATGTTATAGGAACACTTGAAGAAATTGCGGGCGAGATTATCCCCAAGACCGGATTTTTCAAAAATGGGCATGATGCAGAGTCTGGCCTAAGGCTACAAAATGGCATTGCGAGGACAAACTGTATCGATTGTCTGGATCGCACCAATGCCGCTCAATTTGTGATTGGAAAACGAGCCCTTGGCCACCAGCTTCATGCGCTCGGAATTATCCAAGGGACAACGGTGGAATATGACACCGATGCGGTCAATCTGTTTACTGACATGTGGCATGACCACGGTGATACCATTGCGATCCAATATGGAGGTTCGCATCTAGTCAACACCATGGCCACGTACCGGAAGATCAATCAATGGAGCAGCCATTCACGAGATATGGTGGAGAGTTTCAAAAGGTACTATAATAACTCCTTTCTGGACGCACAGCGACAGGAGGCATACAATCTTTTCCTTGGCAATTATATCTTTTCGCAGGGTCAGCCAATGCTTTGGGATCTATCAACCGACTATTACTTGCACCACGCTAATCCAAAATCCTGGTCAAATAAATCACGGCCCAACTATATAAACTGGTATACACCTGATAATCTTAAGGAAAAAGAGCTGCCACCGCCACCATCCCCGCCGAAGGAGTTAATATCTCGGTATGATGATTACTGGCTCGAATACTATAGACCATTGGCTGTTTCATCATTTTCAAAGATCTTCTCCTATAAGATGAACTCTACCCTTCGTTATCTCCCCTTCCGTCCTTCGTCAGGGGCGCTTTATGATCTCAGTCCTTTTGTGGCTCGAATCCCAAACGAGCAGATCAACAGGGAACGTCAACAGCAACAGCGGAGCGTCAAAATACAGGAGCCAGACTTTGTCCGAGATCGTCCGGAAAGGACACGTTTTGATAATGCTACTCCTGTGCCAAATTGGCGTCTCTCTGCCAATAAAGGGTCTGGGATCATGAAAGACTCATCATTCGGGGCTTCGCAGCCCAGCAATTACACTCAGCGCTCCGCACCTAGCAAAGCGCAAATCGCCCAGTGGACCTTGGGTCAATTGGTGAATGACTCCTTGAACCCATCGGTCACATCCGCGGAGGCAGAGGAGTATGAACGCTATATCAACCACCCCTTGAAGGTACCTCTTGTCGTGACTTCTAGGGATCAACTTACGGCCACCTCTGCTCGTGAGCGCGAATCAAACTTGGATTTAATTGAGTATGTCAACAAATGCAACATTGAAGACTCCGCTCTCAAGGCCAACGCGGATCTCAATATGGCAGACTACGCCGAGTTCCTCAATATATCGGACGAAGGACTCACAGTTTCGGCAGAGGATCATGAAATGAAGCGCTACAAGCGCTACCGGCAATGGTTGAGAGGCAAGAGTCTTTTCAAGCAGCGGGTTGACATTTAAACAGCTGTGCATTTCTGTGCCACGATTCATGAATTATAAATTAATGACGCGATACCCATACGCATCATGTCTGTATTAGCGTTCACAAGTCTTAGCTTAGCATGTTAGATCTACCAAATCATCATTTCTAACGACATTCTATTCTATAAACTAGAAACCAACCACCTATGCTTCCCCAAACAAGCTCCCATCATTAGCATCAATCTCCTCCAACAGAAAACCACGTAAACCCTCCTCCGCATCAACCAGCTCCTGCAACTCCTTTTCCAGATTCTCCTTCGCCTCCAATTGACCCTCACCACCATCCTCTTGAATCGAATTCCGCAAAGCGAACTTCAGCAAATAAACCACACCCCTCAACTCCTTCTTAAGCCTCTCCATAACCGCACCCTCACCCCCAGACAAGCCACCCCTCTTAACCCGATCCACAATCTCCCTCTCCTCCTCACAAACATGAAGCCAGCACGCGCACACCGCACCCAATATCTCCCCGCGCCACATCCACACCCGCGGATGCGCATTCAAAACCACCACCCTCACAACCTCCACCGCACCCAAAAGCATGGGCGGATAAGCCGGCCCAAACGGATTCGCCAGCGTATCATGCACCAGCGGAACAATCTCCCGCAGGAACTTCGTCGTATGGATCCCCAGCTCTCCCAGGAGAGCCACCACCTGCTCCAGAAGCAGCGTCGAGAGCCGCGGATACGGGAATGATGCGAAGTCCGGGGATAGCGAGGTCGGGTTCGTTGAGCTGATGTGGTGGAATGATGGTATGAGGTTTTCTCGGAGTGTGGTTGTTAGACGCGATATGTAGGTTTCGAGTTTGCTGGATTGCGGTTTGGTTTGTGGGGAGGGGGTGAGGGTGTAGGTTGTTTTTTGGAGGGTGAGCAGGGCTGGGTAGGCTTCTTTTAGGAGGCTGATGGAGTCGGGTTCTGGGGTTATGGTGGGGAGGGAGAGGAGACAGGGTTTGAGGGCGTCTTCGAAGACGGAGGTTAGATTTGTGCGGTGGAGGATGGGGGATTTGGTTTCTTGGATGGGGGTTAGGAGGTTTCGGAGCAGGGTGCAGCCTTTTGTTTTGATGGTGGTTGTGTCGTCGTCAATTAGGGCTAGTATTGGGGGGACGAGCAGGGGGAAGTGAGTTTCGAGGTTGGTTTGGTTGGTGGGCTGGGTGTGGTTGTTAGTGGTGTGGTTATGGTGAGGAAGACGGGGGCGGCGTACTTTGTATTGCTGGATTATCCAGGAGAGGACGGCTGTGGCGTAGATGTCTTGGATTTTCCATGGCTTGGTTTCTGGGTCTAGGATACTGGCGTCGAATCGGGGTAATGGCACGGGGTGGAAGTTCTTGCGTCCTGCAGAGGTGATGGCTGGGTTTCTGGTCTTTGCGAACAGTGGTCGGATTCTGTCCTTGAGGATCCTTTCGATTACGGGCCAGAATGTAGTATTCATGTCTGGGTTCGTAGCAGTCGCTGGAGTGAAAGTATCCAGTAGGGTAGTGGCACATGAGAATGCTTCTTCCGTAGTCCATGGATCTTCTATAGATGAGAAGCTGGCTAATGCAATTACAACATCTGCCACACTCTCGGCTTTGGATATTGGGAATGATTCAGCCAATAAGGAAAGCACCGACAGGGCGATCCTCGACCTTAGTTGGTCTTCCAGGATAGCATCTTTTTGTTCTGCTATGACGGTTAGAACAGCTATCCGTCTGGTTAAGGCGAATCTTGACTCACCATCCGAGGATTCTTCTGTCTCAGCATAGATGGGAGACGGAAGTGCAGCATCGCTTGCCCAGGCATATATATTATTTGCAGCAGCCTGGTCAGCACCGGACAGGTCTTTCGGGCCCCGGGCTTTTAAGAAGTTATATGCGACAAGGAGACTTTCGCATACCTAAGGCATCATTAGTATATGCTTATGTTTAATATGATCCACGCGGATATTTGCTTACGTCCAGATTACTTGTATTCCCTTGCGATGACACATCCTGCCATAGCAGATCTAATTCTTCAGGAAGTGCAATATTCCCTGCATGCGCTTCTGGGAAAGTGGAAGTCGAATGCCGCGGTGACAGCGCCTCGTGGCACGCCTTCCGAAGTTCTTCCATTACCATTAATTACTAGCTGATGTTCAGACACGGTTAATCCTCCCGATAAAAAAATAAAAAGGGAAAAAAGGAAAACAAAGAAATGCAAAGAATATCATAAGTAAATGAGCATTTGATATTGGTTTACATAATGGGTGTGATTTGGAATTCAAGGCAGGCGGTGGGGGATGGCAGTAACTAGCACTTACACGTGACCGGACAAAAGGTATGCCGTCATTGTTGTCTCTTAACGAAGACAATCAATGACCCTTTATATTGTGGAAGAATCCTCAATGAACAAGCTAATCAGTGGATAAAATCACGATTCATTGATTAGGCATGTATTGACTGTGTGAATATAACACATCCAAGGTATAAAGCCTCATTAACATTCAATTAACATCATTACACCTTGCTACCACAATGCTCCAATTCTCAGATCTCCATCTGGTTGTGACTTCATCCTATCTTAGCTGGCGCTCCGCGCACTGGTAGACCAGCAGCTTGGTACAAAGCATCTATGCATTCCATCTGGCAAATGCTATCCTCACCGGCGATCCAGTATGTAGGTGTATTTCCTTTGACGGCGTCGACGAACGCCTCCAGCTGCCATCGGTAGGTACTCCAGTGCGAACTGCCACCTTTTCCACCGGTGGTCATAGCATTGCCCCACAAAGGACCTCCTTTGTATTGTTTGTGGTAACGCGTCTGCCCCGTTGTCTTGTCGGTGACAGCGATGTAATGATACAGATGTGGCATCATCGCATTGTAGAAGAAGATTATCGCCCTCTCAGTCTCCACTTCGATTGAAGGCAACTCCCAGAAACGTGGAACAACGCCGGCAATCCACCGTCGCTCCAGGTCGGTGTAGATTTGGCTATGAACCTCAGTATCCTGGGGTCCGACAAAAGTCAGGTAGGCGTACATGGCCGCGTCGACGCGTGGATCATCGCTAGAGACGCGGGCAGTGACTGAGTTGATGGCTTTAGGGTGCCGTGCGCGGAGAGCGTAACGAGTGAATGATAGGGCATACGTCATGTCCATCGCGGAGCCACCTAACGATGTCAGAGCAAGCGCTTGTAGGGTAACAGCTAAATGTTGAAGCACTTACCACCCAGATCATACTCCCATCGGATGTCTCCCTTTGGTACACCGGGACTAGCAGTCATCACGGCCTTCGTCCGCAAGATTCTGCCATGCTGGCCGGACTCTAGCATATGCCGCCATGCATGTGCCGCGGGGTGGAATTGCCAGTGGAACTATATCTGCATCAGTTTACCCATTACTTCCTGATTGAGGTGTCAGCATAGACCTACAGCTTCTTCAAGAGTCAATCCTTTCTCTCTGGCTAAGCTCACTAGTCCCTTTGCTTCATCTGCGTTCGATGTGAACGGCTTCTCACAGAGCACATGCTTTCCAGCCTGGAGGGCCTTGGAGGTCCATTCATAATGCTCGCCATTGGGGATGGACAAATATACAATATCCACAGCAGGGTCGTTCAAGAGCTCCTGGTACGACCCGTAGGGTTTGGTGATGTTGTACTGTTTTGCTGCCTGAGCGGCAGTCGAAGCATCGCGAGACGCAATAGCGTATAAGATTACATCCGGGTGTGTTTTCGCGGGATGGATAACTGATCAATCGCCGTGAGCCATAATGATCTGCAGAAAACCAAGGGCTACATACCTGCAGCAGCGTTGATCTGCGCTGATGATAAAATCCCTAGCTTCAACGCTTGGTGGGATTTACGAGGCTTGGAGACAAGGAATGAAGAGAGATACTGGTGGATGAAGGTTGCACTTTGGACGACAAGAGCCATATTTGGAATTCGTATTTTCACAAGACGCTCCTAAGTACTCGAGAATACTGTGTAGATAGAGGGTGACTGCAAGACTCTTATATTAGTTTACAGGTTCGATTTTGTTGGTCAGATATTAACAGAAAACCGCAGCAAAGCAGCTGAAGACATTAGTTATTGATTGCATATTAGCAGCCTTATCAGCTGCACCCCTTTTACTATCGTATGATGCGGAGCAGTACCTCAAAATGACGTTGGCGAGGAACAAAATCCCATGAATTCCATCGTGACGTCGAGCTTCAGTTGGGGATGATGTCACTTGAATAATGTATTCAAGGGCTCCATCTCCCGGGAACAGTAAATCAACAACACTCATGGTCTAGTCAAAAATGCCCTCCAAAGTAACCATCGACACAACCCTCAAGGACGAAAAGAATGTCCTGCCCAACGGTGACAGTCCCGGCATCACCGTGGTCGCCAAGGAAGCCCCGATTACCGTGAAACGGATTCCCGCGACTTACATAGAACTGACATACACATGGATCTTATGATAGACCCCTCTCCAGCAACACATCCTGTTCTGGGACCGTGACGGTGACGGGATGATATTCCCATGGGACATCTATATAGGCTTCCGGGAATTGGGTTTCAATATCCTCTTTTCGATCCTGGCGGTGCTGGTCATCAATGTTAACTTTTCCTACCCAACTCGATTGGCATATAGTTGGCTCCCGGATCCGTGGTTTCGAGTTTACGTACGGAGCGTGCACAAGACGAAGGGAAGTCTTTTTTCTGTTGCATAATAGCAATCAGACTGACTGGTGCGTTCCAGCACGGCTCGGACAGTGGTACCTATGATCCGGAAGGCCGCTTCATCCCGCAGCTTTTTGAGACCTGTTTGCCAAATGGGACTCGGATCAATGATGGCGCGTTGACGTTGCTCGAGCTGTTCAAGCTGATACATGGGCCACCACTGCGCTGCTGATCCGTTCGGAGTAAGTAGCCGTCGTTCTATAACTGGCATAAATACTAGTTTATGCTAACCGCAAATCTTGTGCAGTGGGGTGCGGCTCTTTTCGAATTGGGAACTACGTGGCTGCTCATACAGAAGGATGGTAAAGTTTACAAGGAGGATTTTCGTGCTGTGTGTGATGTAGGTGACCGTACTTCGTGTTTATTACGGGTCTTTTGGATGAACTGGACTGATCTGGGTTAGGGCTCTATATTCTGGAAGATTCGGGAGGCTCGGAAAACCAGCCCATGCTAGACGCAAGGATTTGGGCTCGGTGGAGATGGGTTTATAGGAAGTGAAAATATATATTCTTGACGAGATGGTTGATATACAGTAAGTTGCGAAGGCCCAGACTCGAATGACGAGTGGGCAGAGGAGGAATAAACGTATGCTATATTAGAAGTCCGTGTATAAACATAAGACTTGAACATCATGTCACTCTATTTGAAATGTATATACAGTCAACATCTTACGGATAACTATCTGGAGTTCCTAGTAGTGCGAAATTTAATACTGATGCCATATCTTATTGTGGTTGCTCATTTTCAGGGCGACATTCATCCCGCTACCAAAGGAGAAAGAATGGATCATTTCTCATAGTTCACACAGATATTTTCATAAACACAACAAACTCAACAAAGCACTAGACGATAACTATACATTAGGATACCCGACGACATACATCACTACCCAGAACCGTGGCTCTCCACCCCCTAACATTGCTTCCTCCATTACAATTTCATTGCTAGGCAATACACTTACTCACTCACTCGGTAGACGGGTTAGGCATGGTAGAAGTCTCAGGCCATTTGCGGAAAAGATCCGCCAGATGGTCAATGGGCGCCGCAAGAAGGCCCACGGCCGTCTCATATGGTGGCTTACTCGGCGCACTCGGGTGAGAGCGAGAAGGCACAAACATCTTGGTTCGACCAAAGGAGTCGGAAAGCTTCTCGCTTTCTTCCGAGGACAAGGCCTCCTCCAAGGCGGGCAGGTCCGTAGCCTCCTCTTCCTTGATATGCGACGCGAGGTCCTCCATCAGGGCCTTGAGAGTCGGGATGAAGTCTGCATCTGACGCCTGGAGATCCTGGAACTTTTTCAATTGTTCCTTGACCTGTCCTGTGGTAAGCTTCATTGTCTGGGTAAGGGTTATGTAGTATAACTCACGCTCTGGTGCTCCCTGCGATCCTTCTCGGCCAGAGCTTTACCATTAGCGACATTCTTCTCCATGGCGGGATAAACTATAAGCTCTTCACCGACGGAATGACGAGCTAGTTCCCAGGTGAACAGGTTCTGATACCTTGTCTGCTCATCCTGGTCAGTTGATTGGACGATACGATCATAGTATCGTTCGAGTTCACGGTGATCTTCCTTGATTGCATCGCTCACACGTGGCGCCATTTTCGATTGCTGCTCGAGAGACTGTATGTCACTAAATATAGAGCACGAGAAAATTGACGTTATCGCTAGTAGTTGTAAGGGGACTAGCCATACTTCCAGAACAGGTCTTCAGACCCTTATATCTTGCCCTTCTGTTAGCAATCCAACGGTCCGACGCACACCTCATAATGTGTCATGGCAACGTTGCAAATGCAACACAGCTAATTGGGCCATTCAATGTTTACCCCAGAAGCCACCATTACAGGTGTATGAGCCGTGTTCTCGTCATTCTCTGCTCAGGTCACACACGGCTTACCCCAGTTCCCAATAGTCGGTGCTTCTGCTTCATAGCTCCAGAGCTCGAGGTTCGCGAGGGTAGTCGCGTCCAATAACCAGCGTATGTTTGTCATACAACCTTTTATGGCCAATTAGCCAATCGTTTTGCCTTGATTACAATCACTCGGTCCCTGTGATGGATCTTCTGAAGGCTCTTTGGGCTGATTTTAGGGTTCGATACCAATGCCGAGCGACCCGGACCATAGAACTTGTCGGAACAATGACCGAGAGGTGATGTAGGAGCAACATTAACCAAAAGATAGAGCTGTAGGTGAGGGAAGATGTAAAGAAAAACGTGTGATGTAGAGTGTCGCTTTACATCACTATAAAGTCCCTTTAGCTTCATTTATACCTGAGGAGCTACCGAAAGTGGCATCGAGATAAAGCCACGGTCCACCCCAGTACCATGAAGATTGCAACCCTGTTGAAGTAGCTTATGATGACAAGGAGTAGAGACTGACGCTTGAGAATAATCATCAGTGCAGAGGATACTATCGTGAAAGGTAAGGTACACGCTATCAGAAAGTTGATCTAAACGATACTAGTATATTGAGCGCTATTCACACCAGTCGAAGACACGTCAATATCTTTCCAATCGCCCTATCTCAGCATGCGACAAGAGCCGCAGCGCTGCCCTCTGACAGGACGCTCTCACAATTAGCAGACTTTTTGATTCGCTAGGTATCAAAAGCTAAACGAGTTAGTATGTCTTTTAAAGGCATTCCTGAGGACACCTGAGTTGAATTGCAGAATACATAATTGTCCATTGTTGATCGAGACACTCGAGCGTGTTCCGGACAGATTGAAAACTGCAAAAGATAAGCTATTTCAATGCTTCAAAATACAGAGACCGGATGCGTAACTAATATGCCATTAGAACTTTTCTTCTCATGGAAGTGAAGTTGTATGTGTGAGCGTCACCATCTTGGGTATCTTATTCGGATAACAGCAGCCGGCACCGTACTTTGAATGCGTATGACGATAATATATCATATGTTGTCACTCACAGATTGCTCCACGAATACAATAATGGAGAGACGAATCAAAGGACCTGGGTATTAATTCCCTTTCGCAAGTAGCTATTCCGTGTTAGGGCACTCTCCAGCACGTACCGATAGGACCACATTCGGATTGGTTCTCGAGAGTATCTCCAGTCAAGTATCAGTGCTACTACGATATACCACATGAGTGTAAAATAGCCTACACCATTGGTCTGAGCCTCTCACACGTCCTGGGCCTGTAAGGTAGTCGGAGATCTTCCGTATTTCTGAATTCTGACGCGGATCTACTCCCGCCACTAAGATATCTACAATCTGCTGGCCACTGCCTCGTCCCATATAGGACCTCCCCCCATTATATACTGTGTAGCACAGCACCCAGCGCCACTTTCTAACCATTGGCAGCATGAAGCCTGTTCCTAGAAAAATACTAGCAGCCAAGGATTGCTTTATCTTGGCTGCTGTTTTCGCCAGGCTCTAGAGTGACTACTATCATCATGACGTCATGTATATACGTATTCTTCATTCACCACCAGACGCATCTTCACCGTAACTCCAGGAGATCATGCGGATCCCCTTATAGTAGTGCTACGGCAGACATAGTATTCTTGCCTAGAAAATACCAAAGACTTGAACCTGAGCTTTAGCGGTTAGATACCCTTCAAACAATCAGAACTAGCTTCCTGTTCACCACTCAACATGGCGACGGAGAACGAGAAGAAGCGCGGGTTGATTATCGTCTCGAACCGTCTTCCACTGTCAGTCAAGGAAGAAAACGGCACATACACTTCCAGCCTATCCAGCGGTGGTCTTGTAACAGCCCTGTCGGGTCTGACCAAGTCAACGAACTTCCGCTGGTTCGGCTGGCCGGGCAAGGCTATCGAGGACCCAGAAGAGCAGAAAAAGGTCTCCGACGCCCTGGCAGAGAATAGCGCGGTGGGCATTTTCTTGGACGAGCAATTGGCGCACGACCATTATAACAACTTCTCGAGTATGCACCTCTCCTCCATGCGATATCGATCGCCCACTCGCACTCACACACGCTAACCATGAATAGACTCTGTCCTCTGGCCCATCCTCCACTACCAATCTGGAGTCGCCTTCAATGAAGACGCGTGGGAGGCGTACCAGCGTGTGAATGGGATCTTTGCTGATACCGTCGCCAAAGAAGCGGCCAACGGGGATCTGATCTGGGTTCATGATTACCATCTATTGCTCTTGCCTTCTCTCTTGCGTGAGCGACTCAAGAAGCAGGGGAAGAGCTGCTCGATTGGATTTACATTGCATACCCCGTTTCCGGCAGAGGACTTTTGGCGGGCCATCCCTGTGCAGAAGGACTTGCTGAAGGGCTTACTTGCTTGTGACGTGATTGGCTTCCACACGGATGAGTATAGGCGGAACTTTACTGAGAGCTGTGCACGTAGTTTGTGAGTCTGGGGTTTCCTTTTTTTTTTTCTTTT